ACACCCCGCACCCGGCGGACCCGCAGCAGCCAGGCGGGCGGAGGATGTCCTGGCAGAGCTGGAGCCGGGAGGGAGTGGAGGGGAGACGAGGAGAGAGGAGGGAAGAGAGATGGCTTTAAGCCTTACGTTTCATTAATGAAGCATCAGCTCTTCCAAGTTACTCTTCTACCGGCCTTAGCGATGCTCAGAGTGGGAAGGGGCTGTGGAGAGCGGGGAAGGGAACGCAAGGACCCTGAAAAAATGTGCATTTGCCCGCCTCGTGCTCGACCAACCGAGTAAGGTCAGCGGGGAGAGGGAGGCAGGGACGGGCTGCGGGTGTGGGGTGTAAGATAGAGAGGTGAGCCAACCCGGTCAGGTGCAGCCCGAGCCCAGATCCATGTTCTTTAACCTTCTGGGCTGTTGCTCTTCCCTTTTCTTTTCTTCCTTTTCTGTTCTTATTTATTTCTGTCCTCTTTTTAAACGTTTTTTAGTAAAGTATAATATGCATTGGAAAAATGCATATATGGTTAAGTGCACAGTTCAATAAATTTTCACAACTGAACCCATCCGTGAAACCAGCACCAGATGAAGAAGTAAAATGTTAGCTACACCCCCAGAAGCTCCTCCTGGTCTCTCCTCTCTAGCTGCTCTACACTGCTCACATCCACCTGGAGTAACTATTATCTGGACTTGTAACAGCACAGGTTAGTGTGGCCTGGAATTTTACAATAAACACAGTATAAACTCCTTGGCGTCTGGCTTCCTTGGCTTGCCTTTAAATTGGTGAGGTTCACCCAGTCTGCTGTGTGTAGTTGGAAATCATCCGTTTTTATTGCCACAATTTATTTATTCATTCTTCCATTGATGGACATTTGCATAGTTTTCAGTTAATGATTACCAGGGGGCTGCTATGAACATTCTAGCAAACATCCTTTCACACAACTGTTGGCTATACACTCAGGAGTGGAATTGCTTGGTTCTAGAATTTAAGAATGTTCTTCTCAAGTAAACACTGCCAGTTTTCCAAAGTGGTTGTACCACTTTACAGTCCCACCCTCTATTTCTTTAAAAAACAGGTGCTAAGTCTTTTGCATCTGGAATCTAGTCAACTTCTGTTTGTGTTCTTTGCCTTCTCTTTAGTCAGTCCTTTTTGTGCTCTATCTTGCTTTACTTACAAATATACATTTGTTCCACAGCTTTCTAAGAAAAAATTAATCACTTAATAGTAAGTAATAGTACTTATTAGGTTCCAGGCAAAAAATGCTAAGCTCTCTATGTGTCTTAACTTATTTAATCTTTATGGATAGGGCTATTATCCCAATTTTACAAGTGGGGAAACTGAGGCATAGAGTCTTTAAGTAACTTGCCCCTAGTCATTTGGTTAGGAATCAGCAGAATCAGGATTTGAACCCAGACAGACTGAGCCTATGCTCTTAACGACTCTACTAACTGCCTCTCTCAAACTTAGTGCACACTGGGTAAGTCACTCTGGGCGAAAAACACAAAAGACACTGCCCTGGTCTTAATGGAGATTAAAATCTATTTCAGGATAACAGTCACATAAAAGGAAAACTAAGGCTGCCGCATGAATTGGGCAGATGGAGGGGCTACATAAGTCAGCACATAGACAGATTACTCACCACGGATAGAGTGGCCAGAGAGAAAGGCCTCAGAGAGCAGAAGGCACTACAGCTGAACCTTCCAGAATGGTCAGGCACCTGATTGGCAGAGAAGATGACCACCCTTTACGACAGGCTGTTTCCCCATAAAATCCAAGTGCAATGTCTCCTCACCGTACACGATACACGATAGCTTTGTCAAGGTGAGGTTTAACTGCTCTCCTCCTTGGTTTCGGGCTTACATCACCAAAGGCCTTTAGAGAAACAGTCACCTTCCCAGCTGTACATTCCCAGCCAGTGACTGCATACTCTGGGAAGGACAAGGTTACAGAGGGAGACAGCCACCTTCGCTGCGCTGCGTGCACTACAGACTCATCACTTTCCCGCATGGGGCCACAGACAATATTTGCAATAGCAGTGTGGAAGAGGTATAAAATTATATGCTAAAATGCCTTTGAGGGTTTTTTTTTTTTTTTTTTTGAGAGAGAGAAAGATGCCTTACCCATGTGATTATTTTCTTGGCTATGAGCTAAACAATATGTGACATGACCTCCACTTTCCTTAATCCCACACCTGACAGAGTTGGCTTTTACTTCATTTTCTCCAAATATCTACCACTTACTGAAAAATGAAGCAGTTCCCTTTTAATTTCCAGATAATACCTCCCATCTGAACATCTTTGCAGGTAACTGCTTATCTTAATATTATAAACTTTTATTTTGAAAAATATTCTGCTTTGGTCATAAAATATTTCTGTGCATATTTCTAGTTTTTAATTTCACATTCTGCTTTATAAGTTCCAGATTTAAAAGGCTTCATTTTATGCCCTTTAATGTCAAAGCAAAATTGGTTAGTCAGTTCCAGTTTTCTTCAGAGAAAAACACTTCCTTGATCATAGACTGTATTTCTGATAATCATAGTTTCATAAACTTGGTGCAAGTTTTGGTTAAATCCTTATCAGGAAAGCACTTCAAAAACATACTAAATGTTCACTTTGGCAGCACTTACACTAAAACTGGAACAATACAGAGCAGATTAGCATGGCCCCAAGGGAAGGATAACATGCAAATCTGTGTAACACCCATATTTTTGTATGATTGTTGAAATCAAAAATTATAACATATCTGATGGGGTTTTCAATGTATTCAGATTCAATTATATGACATAAAGGGTGAAGGTAAAGGACCTTATTTGTTGTAATGTTTCTCTACTTCACTTCAAGTGGTAAGCTATGAACTCACAGCAGACTGAGAAAAGTTATGCAAAGAGATATAGTAAAAAACCCAATAGAAAAATTTAAATGTAATGGCAAGAAATATTCAAATCATCTAAAAGTTGGGGAAAGGGAAAACAGAAAACTAGTAATAAAATGGCACACATAAATCCAACCATTTCAATACTTACACTAAATATAAATAGTCTAAACACATCAATTAAAAGCTGGAGATTGTTGGACTGGATTAAAAAAAACAATCCAAAATTCAACTCTATGCTGTTACAGAGTCTCACTTCAAACATAATGATATAGATAAATTAAAGTAAAAATATGAGGAAAGATACCATGCAAACATTAATCAAGAGAAAGTTAGTCACTGTATTAATACCAAACAAAGCAGACTCCAGAACAAGGAGATCATCATGGATAAAGAGGGAGATTATGTAATGATAAAAGAGTCAGCTCATCAGGAAGATACAACAACCCTAAATGTGTATGTCCTTAATAACTGAGCTTCAAAATATATAAAGCAAAAGTAATAGAACTGAAAGGAGGAAAAGACAAATATGCAGCTAATGCAGTACCTAGAAAGAAATGTATAGGTATAGTACATACAAGTATTATTTATAAATATATTACATATATGTGTATAACACACGTAAGTATAGGTATAACATATATAAATTTTATATGTGAAATATTCTCTTTAGGAAAGAAGAAAGGTCTCAAATCAATAGTCTAAGCTTCCACCTTAAAAAATTAGAAAAACAATAGCCAACGAAACACAAAGCAAGAAGAAGAAGTAAATAATAAATATAAGAACAGAAATTAATAGAACTTTAAAAAGACAAAACAGTGGAGAAAATTAATGAGACCAGAAGCTGGTTCTTGGAAAAGACCAATAGAATTAATAAACTTCTAGCTATATTTACAAGAGAAAAAGAATGTGTATATATGATGATGATGATGATGATGATGATGATAATGATGATGATGATGATGATGAAGAAGAAACCATGATGATCCTTAAAAGATCTTCCCAAAACGTTCACCTTACCCAGCACCAGAGTGTAAGCATATCATTCACGACAAGCTCCTACTCTTGTGTACTTAACGATATTTAGTCGAACCCACTCATTCTGCCCAGGGTAGCAGCTATTTCTATAGCAGTAGGTCGTTCCACCCTTACATTCTCTACAGAGGATCTCTTGGACAATCCCAAGGGTTTCAGCTTCCAGCTGAGGGGACTGACCGATTTTGACGACACCGGTGGAAGCACCGGTCATATCATGTCTCTGTGGGAGGACCTAGTGGGTGTAGACAAAGGAAGATGGGTCCTTCCACCTGCATGAGGTCACAGGTTGGGCTGTGAGGCGGATTGGGCTGGGTCTCTGGTTCTGTTCCTTTATAAACTAATGTGCTCTCGGGTGTGTCCAACATTGCCAGTGATCTTTGTCCTCACAGCAATCTGCCTGCTTGTGCTCAGCACAGGGAGAGGCCAGGGAGTAGGCTGGACTGAAGCCCAGAGTCCATGTCAACAACTGTCACTCATCCTGCTGATTCACTCATTACTTATTCCTTCCCCTTGTGTTTTGGGGGTGACATGCTCTTTCTAGAACCCTCTGAGAATACGCTGTGTACAGGTCCCCTCCTGAAACTGAGCAGTCTTAACTCCTATTATTATTCCTTCCTGGAATTCCTTCATGGGTCGAGTCATGTCTTTTTCATAAGAGTGGAAGGTCCTTGAGGACAGGAATCCAGTTTGGTGTCCCTTCAGCATAACCCACAGAATGCAACTGCCCCTTTCTATCAGCTTGCAAGCAAGCTGATAATACTCCCAGGACAGTGTACATGCTCATTAAATAATGGCTGATGGAATCAGTTAATGAATAACTGGCACGTCTTTTATTCACAGCCTCCTCCTCCACTTGGAATTCTGTGCTTATAATACTCCAAGGCTGATGTTAGTGAAATAGACTTTACAGTGCGGAGTTTTTATAAATATTCTAATTTTGAACTGAAACATAGGAGAGGGTTATACAACCAAAATGATAGTTAACATTTACCAAAAGGCCACTGTGTGTGGGAACTCTGAATCCCTTATTAGCTCACTTCATCTTCATAATAACCCAACGAGACAGGTGCTGTTAGTCTCATTTCACAGACGAGGAAGCAAAGACTCAAAGAGGTTAAGTAACTTGTCCAAGGCCACACAGATAATTATAATCATTTATCTGGCACTCTGGCCCAGGTCTCCCCATCTTCTTAACCACCAGTGCTTTACTGTGTATGTGAAATAGGATGTGGTTGGATGAGATTTGGATACTGACAGACATTTAGAAATTGCTTATTGAATTGGTGGGATCAGTGAATGGCCAGTCTTAGAAAAGAAATGACTAGACTTGAGGATTCTGGAACCCTCCTTTGCTCTGCTAAACTTAAGAGACACCCAGAGATGAGCTGAAAAAAAGAAACAGGGACTAAGAAGTGGCACACACAAAATAAAAAAATGCCCAGCCCCCAGAGAAAGCAAAACCATGGGAGACAAAAGGCAGGAGAAAAGTGATCCCAGGTCATGTTCTGTTGCATCACTGTGCATTTTCGGCAGGGTTTGCTGCTCTGGTGATGGTCCTCCCTCAATGGCAAAGTTCATACATTAGTCACAGCAAGATCACATAAAAATACTAATCCATGTTTTAAAAACTTGGATAGCATCCAAGATAAATATATGTAACAAAATTCCAAAACAATTGTTGACCCATATTGCTCTTACCCACACATCTGGTTCTATTTCGACCAATAGGTTCACTTTGCCAATTGAGCAGAGACAGCCTTTAATAACTCAAAAAAAGGCATGCTGTTAAAGAGGACCAGGGTGGAGGAGAAGCAGGTGAGGGCAGTGGGGATGGAAAGTCAGCATCTATACAAGTGGGAGCAGAATGCAGAATGTTTTGAGGAAAGTGGGCAGATGCCCATGACCCAACAGAATAAAGTTCTGAAAGGAAAAGTGAAGGGTTGTTACGATGTTTGACAGCTAGAATCCATTCACCTTTTTGTTAGAGGGGACCCCGATTTTCCTTAAGATTCTACATCCTCTCCATTCACAGCCTGTCAGGCTCAAGTGGAGTTTCGGGGTGGGCAGATGACTCATGTTGGCCAATGGGAGCACCGAATTCCTCTAAGCACAGTGATTGGTTCAAAATGGACACATGACCAACTTGGATCCAATGAGATTCAATTCTGAGACTTTGGTCAGAAATGTGTTTAAGAGAAAATTCTTCCTTTCTTTATATAGAAACTAGGATATGATCCTGGAGCTGCCTACACTATCTTGCCACTGCTGAGACAAGACTCTGACTGAGAGTAAAGCCAACAGAGAGGGAAAGAAAAGGGCCAAGAGATGGAGCAAGGAAGACTGTGTTCTGGTGTACTGTTTGAGTGACTGGACCTCTGGGTGCCTAGAATTTCCTATCCTGATGGTCAGTAAAAATCCCTTTTTGGCTCAGACCATCCTGAGTTGGGTTTTCTGATATATGCAACTAGAGATTTATATCCACAACAGTTAGAACCTGCACAGTATAAAGAAAGAGGGCTGTGGGTAAGAGCTGTTCCATATGATAGAAAAAAGGTCTCAACAACACGGTGATGCACTTTAGAAAGGTGACCGCATCCCGAGATGAATACAAAGTATATTCTTAAGGTTCTAATCCTCATAAAAACACGATATAGTCTTTTCAGGCTCATGAGCTAAGATACAAGGTGAAAATAAAAATATGTTCAGGAATTGACAAAGTTACAGAGAAAGGTCTTGTGTGTAGATGTAAGGTGATCACATAGAGCTACAGAATAAAATGATAAAATCATAAAACAATGTCTCCAGGAATTGATTGTGTTTTTTTTTAGCAGAGAAAAAAATTCCAGAAACATATATGTATTTGAGTCTTTTCTTTCTTTCCATATATTTCCTTGTATCTTTCTCTTTTTCTCTCTACTTTAGGAACTCAGAGAAATAGAATAAAACATTTCTGTGCATCATTACCTGGTCAGAGCTAAGCTGACACAGAAGAAATTTATTTCTGCAGCACAGTAATAAGTGGTTCTCTTTAACCTATATTCAGGGAGGAAGGTTTGATTCTATTTTTGTCATATATTTTCCCCAACTGTGCAATCTTTTATGATCTGCCAGGAAGATTAACCCTACACCCACAAAGCTTGGACAGAAAAATCACAGAGTATTACCTTGAATTGTTTCAATTTCCTTCTTCCAGGGAGAAGGCAGAAAGCACTTCAAATATCTCATTTTGGTTAAATGCAGCAAGCACACCTTGGTCGGCTGTTCTGTACCAGGCACTGTGCTCAATGCTGGGGATAAATTTATGGTAAGTCCCAGCCCCCTTCCCAAGGAGCTCACAGTGCCTAAAACACGCATGGAGTGCTCCCAGTCCTCAGCCCCTCTAGCTGAGGAGATATAATGTGTTTTAGGAAAACACAGAATTGACATAGACCTGATATTGAAAAAGATGCTCATTGTCCACATTTTTATAACCAGATAGCACTTTGATCTACACCAGTTGCCTCACAAATGAGTCCTCCTCCACTGAGACATTCATGGCCAAAGTTACTTCATCATTTTCACATTCATTGCTCTATTGACTACCTATTTTACACCAAATACTCCTGGGAACACTGGGTCTACCTCAGGGAATAAACCAGGTGCATAACCCCTGACTGCCTGGTGGGTCTCTCAGTTCATCGTGGGAGATGGAACAAACAGGTAAACAAAGAAATGGATGTATAATTGTAAAATGGGAAAAATACTATCTGGGAATCTGGGTTGCAATGCTAAAGAATCGCGGAGGAGAATGGGGGAACCTC